ACTGAACAATCACCAAGCTTTATTGTTAAGGGAGAAAAGTAAGCGCTAGAAATTTTGTATGCTAATATTTCAGTTTAAAAATGGATATGGGGTGTTGGGGTTGTGTGTGTGTATGTGTGTGTGTGTGTGTATGTGTGTGCACACATGTGTGTGCCTGTGCAGGAGTACACGTGTTTGTATGGACAGACTATCTGTAGCTGCCTTAGGAAAGAATATACGGGCTACTGGGGTCAAAATTGGAGGGTACATTTTTTTCTTTTCAAAAGATTATTATTATTAAATACAATATTCATGCAGAAAAATATATGAAACAAATACTCACCTTAACTAATCATTCAAAGCAAATACCAACCTAATTAACAAGAGAACATGGCCACCTGCTTTGCTGGAAGCCTTTCTCATGCCTGTTTCCCTCCCTCCCTGCCATGCCTCTGGTCAAGGAAATCACTATTCTGCCTCAGATGGTAAGCACTTCCTCGCTTTGCCTTCGAGTTTTATCACCTACAAATGTACCCCCTATACTATATGCTTTTGCTTTTCCCGTCTTAAAACTTCATCTAAATTGAAATAAACACAACAAATTCTTTGGCGTCTGCTATCTTTCACTCAATATTATGTTCAATGTATTTATTCATTTTGTTTTTTTAATTTTAATTTTTTTTTTGTAGAGATGGGATCTCACCATGTTGCCCAGGCTGGTCTCAAACTCCTGGCCTCTAACGATCTTCCTGCCTCAGCCTCTCAAAGTGTTGGGATTACGAGTATGAGCTGCCACACCCGGCCCCACTCTATTATTGATGGACATTTGCATTATTTCCAGTTTGTGGCTGTTACAAGTAAGGCTACAGTAAGCATTTATACATGTGTCCTGGTACATCGGCCAAGGATTTCTGCTGGGCGTTTTTCTAGGAGAACTGTTTCCTCATATGGTCTACATATGCATGGTTGAATAAGGCTAAAATGTCCTCCAGAGATTGTACTGATTTACAGTCTCATCAGCAGTGCTCCTCCTCCTCCTCACTAACACTGGTCATTGTCAGTGTTCTAAATTATAGCCATTCTGGTGGTGGTAGTGAGGGGTAGTTGTATTACGTTGTGCTTTAAATTTGCATTTCCCTGATGAATAATGAGATTGCACACTGTCTCACGTGTCCATTAGCCATCTGAATATCTCGATCTGTTACGTATCTGTTCAAGAAGGCTTCTGACTGCTGGGTATTCTGCTTTTTCTTGTTATTTTCTTGTTCTTTATATGTTCTGGGTATAAGTCCTCTGTTGTTTATACCTGCTCCCACTCTGTGGATTACAATTTTCTTTTTTCATTTTTTTGAGATGGAGCCTCACTTTTGTCACCCAGACTGGAGTGCAGTGGCATGATCTTGGCTCACTGCAACCTCTGTCTCCCAGGTTCAAGCAATTCTCCTGCCTCAGCCTCCCAAGTAGCTGGGATTACAGGTGCCTGCCACCATGCCTGGCTAATTTTTGTATTTTTAGTAGAGACAGCGTTTCTCCATGTTGGTCAGACTGGTCTCGAACTCCTGACTGACCTCAGGTGATCCACCCGCCTCAGCCTCCGAAAGTGCTGGGATTACAGGTGTGAGCCACCGTGCCTGGCTGCGATTTTCTTCTTAAAGAAGTGATTATCATAAAAGTCAGGGTAGCAGTTAGCTCTAGGAGCAGAGGGATTGTGGAATGCTAACTATGGACTCTTTCTAGACCTATGGAAGGATAACTCACTCAGCCATGCATGTCTGTTTTGTATGCTTTCCTGTATGTATGTTACATTTCTCAATAAAAACGTTTTTAAAAGACATAACTACGACCCATTAACTTCACCTCCCTTGGCTGGGTGCAATGGCTCACGCCTGTAATCCCAACACTTTGGGAGGTCAAGGTGGGTGGATCACAAGATCTGGAGTTCAAGACCAGCCTGGCCAACATGCTGAAACCCTGTCTCTACTAAAAATACAAAAATTAGCCAGGCGTGGTGGCAGGCGCCTGTAGTCCCAGCTACTCAAAAGGCTAAGGCAGGAGAATCAGTTGAACCCAGGAGGCAGAGGTTGTAGTGAGCCAAGATCGTGCCACTGCACTCCAGCCAGATGACAGAGCAAGAAATCCATCTCAAAAAAAACTTCACCCCCCATATATACTTAAGAGAGGGTGTACATATGTGCATGAGGAGACATGAAGAACGTTCCTAGCAGCATTGCTTATAATTCATATTGTATTTCAATGAAATATTTTAAATCAACAAAAATTGATAAACATTTCTTTAGTAGGCTACCTCCTGTGACATAAAAAGGAGAAAATAAGAACATGTTCTCAGCTGCTGTTATTTGCATAAAGAAATCTTAATCATACAGAGAAAAACTAATTAACCTGGTCATATGTATTAAAGAGAGCTGAGCAGACAGCAGAAAGACGGATAAGAGAATTTAGACCATAGAGCCTGAGTACCCCTTATCTGAAATGCTTGGGATTAGAAGTGTTTGGGATTTGGGATTTTTTTTTTCCAGATTTTAGAATATCTGCATTATTCTTAAGTTGGGCATCCCTAATCTGAAAATCCAAAATCCAAATGAGCATTTCCTTTGAATGTCACGTCAGTGCTCAAAAAACTTTAGATTTTGGAGCATTTCAGATTTTGGATTTTTGGATTAGAGATACTCAACCTGTATAGCTTTTTATATGTCTTTAATTTTTTGAGCCATTTTTCTATGCTTTATTCAAAAAAATTAAGTTTAAAAAAACTACTACCACTATCTTTAGAATGATATGATGCTGCTGCATCCATAAAACAGAAATAGCACGGGGATATTCTGAAGACAAAAAGGGCTACTTAAAATAAAAAAATATAACAGCATTAATGAGAGATATAAAAGAAGATTTAGAAGATAAAGTTTTTTAAAGAGTACTACTAGAAGACAGAGCAAAAGAGACAAAAATGGAAATCAGTAAAGAAAATAATTTTTACAAAGGAGCATCAACAACCAAATGAGAAGAGTTTTCGAAAAGCAGAGAAAATGTACATGTAAGTAGAAAAGGTCTAGGAAGAACCTGGAAACAGGTTTTCAAATTGGGCATAAAAATGATTTCTAATCTAGAATTGTAGTCTCGGCTAAAAAGCCAAATTTAGTGTCAGAATGAAATAGGTATATTTCCATGGCATTCATGTTTACATTTCTACATATATATTTATACGGTTATATGTATTCAGTAAATACATGCATGACATTTTCAGACATGCAAAGTTTCAGAAAATGTACCTGTCACGCATCCATTCTGAAGGATATCCTGGAGGATGTGCTCCCCACAAAATGAAGGGGTAAGCCAAGAAAGAGGAAGACACAAGCTCCAGGAAATAGGAGATCTGACCCAAGAGGAAAGTCAAGGGGATTTCCTGGGAGATGGTGAAGGGAAGACACCAAAGTAACAGCTCTGTGTCAAACTGAGAACGCCACCAGCCTTGACCTTAGCAAGTCAAGCTCCAGGAGAGATTTCTTCAAAGAGAAGACAATGATGCCCAGAAATGAGAGCAGCCCCACCTATTACTGGCTCTTTACTGTGTAAACCTGGGCCAAACGGTTTTCTCTAACCCCCAGTTTTCCCTTCTATGAAATGGTGACAGTAATGGCATCTAAGGCCAGGTGCGGTGGCTCACGCGTGTAATCCCAGCACTTTGGGAGGCAGAGATGGGTGGATCACCTGAGGTCAGCAGTTTGAGATCAGCCTGGCCAATATGGTGAAACCCCATCTCTACTAAATATACAAAAATTAGCCAGGCATGGTAGCACATGCCTGTAATCGTAGCTACTGAGGAGGCTGAGGTAGGAGAATCGCTTGAACCTGGGAGGTAGAGGTTGCAGTGAGCCGAGATCGTGTCATTGCACTCCAGTTGGGCAACAAGAGGAAAACTCACTCTCAAATAATAATAATAACGGCACCTACTACCCAGGCACAGTGGCTTGGACCTGTAGTCCCAGCTACTTGGGAGGCTGACGTAGGAGGATCACTTGAGCCCAGGAGTTTGAGGTTGCAGTGAGCTATGATGGTGCCACTGCACTTCAGCCTGGGCAACACGGTAAGACCCTGTGTCTAAAAATAGTAATAATAATGGCACCTACTTCATGAGGTTGTTGTGAAGATGAGTGGACACATGTAGAATTCGTGTAACAGTGCTGGGCATGCAGTAAACATTGTATGACTGCTTTTAATTATCACTGTGATTATCACCTAATGTGTTTGAACATATAGAAAGGAGATCTTAACACCAGGAAAGAATTTGGCGTTGAATGATTGATATGTATATAGTAATGCAAACAAATGACTGCGACGGAAAATTGTTAATTCCAGGGAAAAGAAAAAAGTTGTGCAGAAATAGTCATCACAGCATGGATACCATGGGATTCAATGATCAACACGGACCACGAATCTCACCAAAACAATGATATACCTATCTTAGCAAGGTGGGTTAGGAAATGTGTATGTGGGTGGGAGTGTAAAGGAAAGCTCAATCTCTGTCTTCCATAGTGGAAAGCCAATGGGTAAAACGCAAAACATTCTTTAAAACTATTAAAAAGAGTAAGGGTGTTTGCTTCTGGGAAGCTGGAATCTGGGGAAAACAAAGCATGGAAGAGATTTTTTAAAAAAGAGAGAGAACTATTTGATACCTTTTACCACTTGCAAATGAAACTAAGAGCTAATTCCAAATTAGGAAAGGGTAACAGATATTCGTAAAAATGTGCAAGAATGATAAAGCACTATTAACCTGAATATTTTCAAGAACCTCTTTTAAAATCCACAAGCTAAGATAAATAAATCAGCAATGGACAGGAGAAGGAAATTCACAAAATGGAAATAAATGACCAATAAAAATGGGGATGGGAGGAAATTTGCCTGCCTGGTATAAAAGTACCACAAATGAAAACTGTGAGATCGTTATCTTTCCTAGAGGGCTCTGGATGAATTCCAACCCCTGGGCACCTCTTCCTCCTCCTCACCTCACAGGCACTGCCATGTTCCCCTGGCTGGGGAGTGTCCTCGTTAGCTGGCATGTTCCCAACGGACTTGGACTTCAGCCCCTGGGCTTTCTTGCAGACAACTCTCGAATTCCAGTGGGATCGGTGGACTCAACGGGAACTGCTGGGGTCAGAAGGAAGATACTGCAGCCTTCACTATGAGATCTGGCCCAGGGACTCTGCAGAGACTCCAAGAACCCTGGAAAAACAGTGTCCATATGATCAGAGACGGGTAGCACTCACCACACAGAACATTTGGTTCCCTGGGGAACCAAAGTACAGTTCACTGCACTGGACACTGTGGGGTAGATCAAGTCCAGGAAACACATATTTTGGTTATTAATTAAAATAGAATATGAGCAAGACCATGAGATTTGGACTAAAATTAATAAAGGTTTAAATCCCAGCTCTGCCAAATTTTAGCTAGGAGAACATGAAAAAGCTTCTTCAGGCTTATTTTTCAAAATGAATTTGAAATATTTATCTCAAGTGGAGGTGAAAATTAGATGAGATTATGTTTCAATGGCACTTAGCACTGAACTGACGCCAGGTAAATACTTAATACGTGATAGCAAGTATTGTTGTTATAAGGAACTATGTAATGTGCAGAAACAGGTAATTTACACAACAATCCTTTCATCTATATGTTGTCATCATCATTATTATTCCATTTTATGCATACAGAATTAGAGGTTTAGCGGTGTTAAGTCAAACCCAGTCTATCTCACTCCAAAGTTCACGTTGTCAAAGCTATATCATATGATACCTTTTCCATGGTAGGCTCAAAATAAATGTGGTTCTGTTTGACAGACAGTGAAAATATGACCCTGAATTCAGAATTAAAAAGTTAAGTAAAATTCTTGAAACAGAAGAGACATGCTATAGAAAAGATAGTAACAGCCTGGGACTACAGTTTTTTAATTAACTCAAAAATATCCAGAGATAAAACTGTTTCCCCACTGAGGGAACTAGGGAGGAGAGAGTGTCTCTGTGTCCAAGTTGAGGTACAATTTTATTCTGATCAATTATTAAAGGCACTGTAGATTTAGTCATTCTTGTTAGGAAAGGGAAAATATCTACTTAAAAAGAAGAGAACTTAATTCAACAGAAGTAAGAATGAGATGAAGAGGAAAAAAGAAAGTAAAATAAATAAAGAGTAAAATAAAAGGCATGAGCAAGTTAAATTTTAAAAACACTAAAAGGATGTTGTATCAAAGCAAGAGAGAAAATATGCTTTCTTCTCTTATAGTCAAGGAACTTTTACAAATTCTTTCAAATAACTTGGCTACCAAAAAATCTGATAAATGTTTTAATGTTGGGAATTGACAGGCTTACATTCTCTGATCGTTAACATAAGATGTTCAACAACATCAGTCATTAGGAAAATGTGAATCAAAACCATAATCTTTCATGTATTTGGAGACCATCTCACATCCACTAAAATGCCTAACAAGAAGACAAGACAGTAACAAGTGTTGGTGAGATGTGTATAAATTGGAGCTGTCATACATTGCTGTTTGGATTGTAAAATGGTGCACTCATTCTGAAGAACAATTTGGCAGTTTCTCAAAATATCAACCATAGAGTCACCATAAAACACAGAAATCTCTCTCATAGGTATCTATGCCAGAGAAATAAAAAAAACCCATGTCCACTCCAAAACTTGTACACAAATATTCACAGCAGTATTATTCATAGCAGCCAAAAAGGAGAAACAATCCAAATGTTTAATGTCAACTCATGAATGGATAAACAAAATTTGGCACATATATATATATATATATATATATATATATATATATACACACACACACACACACACACACACCAATGGAATATTATAACATTTGGTAATACAAAAGAAGTACTGATACCTACTATAACATGGATGAACCTTGAAAATGCTACTCTAGGTGAAAGAAGCCAGTCACAAAAGACCACATATTTTGTAATTCCATTCATGTGAAATATCCAGAATAGGCAAATCCACAGAGACAGAAATAGAACAGTGGTTGCCTAGGGCTGGGGGTATGAGGTGGCATGAATGGTGAACGTCTGCTAAGGAGAACAGCATTTCTTTTGGGGGTGTTGAAAAGGTTCTAAAGTTAGATTATGGTGATGGCTGCACAACTCTGTTAATATACTAAAAACCACCGAGCTGCATACTTTAAGTGGGTGAATTTTATGGTTTTGGAATAAACCTAAATAAATGTTATTTTTTAAAAGGGGGAGAAAAGAAACTTTTTCCTAAATAACCCAGGATCCAACTGGGAAATCAATACAGATTTACCAGAAGTTATGAAATACAGCATTATTTAGAGTGAAATTCACTGTTTTAAACAGCTTTAGTTTTAATTAAAGATAAATACAATCCCAAAATGAGCTATGTATTCAACCTAAAACATTAGAAGTAAATAAAACAAAATTAAGCAAAACTAAAACTAAAACCAGGAAGTAATTAATAAAAATAAAACCTTTACTAAATCAAATAAATATAATAGGAGGCTTAAAGAAAAAAAGAGCTGGTCATTTGAAATGACCAATGTAGCCAGCCACAATGGCTCATACCTATAATCTCAGCACACTGGGAGGCCAAGGTGAGAGGATCACTTAAACCCAGGAGTTTGAGTCCAACCTGGGCAACATAGTGAAACCTCATCTCTACAAAAAATACAAAAATTCGGCATGGTTGTGTGTACCTGTAGTACCAGCTACTCAGGAGGACTGAGGTGGGAGGATTGCTTGAGCCTGGGAAGTTGAGGCTGCAGTGAGCCATAATTGTACCACTGCATTCCAGCCTGTCTCAAAAATAAATAAATAAATAAATAAATGGAAATGACCAATGTCATAAAAAACTCTCTAGCAAATCAGATAGAGGAGTCAAGTATGTGTGCATATATGAGAGAGAGAGAGAGAGAGAGAGAGAGAGAGAGAGAGAGAGAGTGTGTGTGTGTGTGTGTAGATTAGGAATAACACAAGATAATTATCATCAACATTAGACATTAGGAAAATACAAATTAAAACCCAAATCTTCCATTTGATTAGGAGACCATGTGTATGCAAGAGAAACGAAAACATATGTCCATTCCAAAACTTATACACAAATATTCACACCAGCATTATTCATAATAGCCAAAAAGTGGAAATAATCCATATGCCCATTAACTGATGAATGGATAAACAAAATTTGCCATATATATATATATACAATAGAATATTATTACTAAATAATTTTATTACTAAGTATTATTACTAAATAATAAATTTTATTACTATTATTACTAAATAATAAATTTTATTACTATTATTACTAAATATTACTAGTCTAAATATATATATTACATATAATAGTCTAAAATGGTATTAAATAGATCATCTGAATAGGTACATAACTATTACAGATACTGAAGCCATGATCAAAAAGCTTCCAAACGAAAGTTTTCAGGCCCAGATGGCTTCAATGGAGAAGTCTACCAAACATTTAAGCATTTAAATAAAAATCAGTACTTATTCTACACAATCTCTTCCAGAAAACAGAAGAGAAGGCCAGGCACAGTGGCTCACGCCTGTAATCCCAGCACTTCGGGAGGTCGAGGAGGGTGGATCACAAGGTCAAGAGATAGAGACCATACTGGCCAACATGGTAAAACCCCGTCTGTACTAAAAATACAAAAATTAGCTGGGTGTGGTGGTGTGCACCTATAGTCCCAGCCACTCGGGAGGCTGAAGCAGGAGAATCACTTGAGTCTGGGAGGCAGAGGTTGCAGTGAGCTGAGACTGCACCACCACGCTTCAGCCGGGCGATAGTACGAGACTCCGTCTCAAAAAAAAAAAAAAAAAAAAAAAAAAAAAAAAAAATGTAGAAGAGGAGAAAATCGTCCCCAACTCATTCAATGAGGCCAGTATTACCCTAAAACTAAAGCCAAACAAGGCCAAGAGCAGTGGCTAACACCTGAAATCCCAGCACTTTGGGAAGCTGAGGCAGGAGGACTGCTTGAGCCCAAGAGATTGAGACCAGCCTGGGCAACATAGTGAGACTCTGTTTACAAAAAATAATAAAATTAACTGGCTGTGGTGGTGTGTGCCTGCAGTCCCAGCTACTCAGGAGGCTGAGGTGCAAGGATCACTTGAGCCTGGCAGTGAGCTGTGATCACAACACTGCACTCCAGCCTGAGCAACAGAGTGAAATTCTGTCTCAAAAAATACAAAATAAAACCAGACGAGGATAGTTTAAAAAAGAAAACTATAGACCAATATTTCCCATGAACTTAGATGCAAAAATGCTAAAAAAAAAAAAAAAAAAAAGCATTAGCTAATCAATTCCTGCAATATATCCAAAGAATTCTATATCACAACCAAGTAGGGTTTATTTCAGGAATGTAAGGCTAGTTCAATATTCAAAAATCAATCAGTGTAACCCTCCATACTGGCAAGCTAAAAAAGAAAAAAAAATCAAAAGATCATAAAAATTCATATGATGTTGATGAAATTCAACACCCATTCATGATAAAAACTACTGGCAAATTAGGAATAGAGGGGAACTTCCTCAAATCAAAAAAGAGGGTCCAAAAAAGAAAGCCCTAAAGCTAAAATCATACCTAATGGTAAAAGGCTGAATATGTTCCCCCTAAGACTGAAAACAATGCAAAGATGTCCACTTTCACCACTCTTATTCAACATAGTACTGGAACTTCTTGCCAGTGTAATAAAGGAAGAAAAGCAGAGGTATAGAGATTGGAAGAAAAGAAATAAAACTATCCCTGTTTGTATATGACACAATTGCTCATGGAGAAAACCAAAGGAATCTACCAAAAAAGGTGTAAAACCTAATAATTGGGCTCAGCAAGACTGCAGGATGCAAGACCAACAGACAAAACTCAATTGTATTCCTATATATAAGCAGCAATTTAAAAGATAATACCATTTATGACCACTCCAAAAAATTAAACACTTAGGTATAAATTTAAATAAGACGTGTACAGAACTTGCATGATAAAAACTACAATACACCATTGACAGAAATTTTAAAAGATTTAAATAAACAGAGAGACATACTATATACATGGATTGGAAGATTTGGCACAGTTAAAACTTCTTCCCAAGTTGGTAAACAGGTTTAACGCAATTCCTATCAAAATC